AAGGGCGGAACGGAAAAAGCGGGGATGAGAAGTACCAAAACTGGAATACACCCCCCATTGTCCGTGAAAAGTCAGGTGTGTAATAATGCCGTATTTATGGGCAGTTTTTTGCCTTTCCCGGCGAAATGTCAATGCAATCAATTTGCCTGATCGTTGTGCGTGACGCGAAAAACTACATAAGCGGACGAAACAAGCATCCCTGCTATCATCGCTTACAGTTTTCTGATGGCAGCCAGGCAGGCAGGATCATCGCTGATGCTGCTTTCCAGCTTCCTAAATTGACCGGAGCAACAGCAATCCATGGCACAGTGAAAGAACGGGAGCCTGCTTCGCTCGCCCCCACACACATTTATCACTAAATGCGCTTCCGAACAACGATTTGATTTCGTTTTGATAACACTTTGATGTAAGAATTGCCTCTAAGCTGTGCTGCTGCTATTGATCGAGAAAAACCTCATCGCTCTCTGAAGGGGGAGGAAAGTGGTGTTATTTTTTTAACAAATGTGTTACCGGTCGCAAAATGCATCACAGGATCGTTTATTGTGTCCATTTAACTGATCTGACTAATCTGAGCCATCGACAGTCTTGCCAGCGGGTGACTGCTTTGGCACATGCTACTACTCGGTCTACTTCCCGAATGTCTCCGTTTCTTATACGGAAAAATACGGAGACGTTATGACTTTTGATACCGTAACATTCTGCTGCTAGCAAGACAAGCCTTGTGGAAGTAGACTTATGAAGCGGTATTTGCATACTGCTTACTACACATCGGTTAAGTTCATGCCAGTGCTTGATTTCGCAGCTATAACAGCTGAAGAGCAAATTAAACAGTTCAAGAAGTCAAGAAAAGCAAAATAAAGATGTACAAATACTAAATTAGTCTACTCACTGCGCATATTGGAAAATGTGTCATTTCAAAGTTAAAAATCATAACTTCATCCCTATTCTCTACCGATGAGGAAGAAGCGCTGAGGAAGTAGGTCGAGTGGTTTGACTTTTCAGCATATGTCAGTACCAATTCACTGTTCGAACATATCGTGTGCTTGTTTTCGTGTCTCACGTAAAAATTCCACTAAGCAGAATAGCTCTCCAAAATTTTGTGAAAATGACTAAAATGAATGTTTTGAATAAGCAACAAAACTATATTCGTGAAATGCTCCTTCATTCGATTTCTCCTTCCCCGTTTCGCATGTGATATGGATAAAGGACAAAGATAATTATTAGCTAAAAGAGGGAAGATAATTTATGAGGCAAAATAGCTCTCGCTCTTTCTCGCATGCAATAGTTTTTCAAAAGCAATTCTTTCTTTGCAAAATTCATAACTAAAATGAAAT